GAGCGATTTAAAAACGATCAAATTCCTAATTCTGCGAGTTATCTGAACAGACAGCGTCATGAATGATAGGATCGATGAAAAGTTATTTCAACTTACAATAAAATTGGATTCCGCAGTGGAAAAATAAATGGGCTGGTTCAAAATGAGATTGAGTATAACACGGAATAAACCGTCTGCTAACATATTGATGACTCTCGTTGCTATTCGGACACTAAATATTAAAACTGAAATTTTGCAAAAAGAAATCGTACAATAATAAACTCGAGCACATTTCAAATCTTGAAACCTCTACTTTCAAAACATATCGTTCATTTTATACTAAAATGGTTTTGTGTGATAAGGTAGACACTTTCCTCCTCAGTAGTGCTATAAATTGTCGTAGTATGTAAAAATATTGAAAAGTTTTTTTTATAACTGAATCTAGATTAGATTTGAAGATTGACTCCTTGAGTCTTATTGTACTATCCTTTATACCAATTTATTGAATATTGAATACCAGGCGAAAACAAATATGTGTATAGACGAAAATGTCACAATTTCTTGAATTTTCGCCATTTAACATTAACAATTAATGATTATTAATTATGATTTATGACTATTAATTATCACTATTGGTAATTATGACTATGACTGTTTATAACACATTTCGAGAAGGAAGGTGTCTTCACTTACGTGATGTAAAAACATTTTAGAATAGAATGAACGATACATTCAAACTTTAAAATGAACCCAAATTTATTATTGTATAGGATTTCTTTTTACAAAATTATAACAGTTTATAACGATATTTTAGTGTTCGGATATTAATGGAAGCCACTGTATGCTAACAATATCCTAAGTAACGTAAGCATGCCTTGTCAAATATATTCTATCGATTAATACAACGAGTCCATTATTCCCGTGCATTTTTACGAAGCAACGAAAGCAAACGGATAATCTATAATCTAATTAACTATAAATATAAATATAATAAATATATAGAAATAATAATAAATAGAAAATAATAATATATAGAAATAATATAATAAATAAATAGAAATAAATATAATCTAATAAACTAGTTAAACTAATGAAAAATGTAAGAAGAAAAAGGGGAATTTTCGTTAAAAGACACTCACTAAAATCTAAAGTTACAGATTCAGCTGCGTATTTAGAGCAGAAAAAACTGATACACTTTCTTAAATATTTCATAAAAGGATAAGCGGCTTTTGAAGTGAAACCTTCGACATACCAGAATTTTAGGTCATCTTTGTGCAGTTATTTACATTACCATTCAAACATTAAATATTTATTTATTTATTTATTTATTCAGAAATAGACGGGCTCTTTGGTACAACTGAGTTGTGAAAATGTTTACAAGTGTAGAACTATGTATACATGTGCTATAAGAAAGTAAAAGAAGAGAAAAAGAAAAAATTAAAGAAATGAAAAAAGGAAAAAATGTACAGTCGCAACTACGACACAGCGATGTGTGTAACATAATAATTGGGAAACCGAAAAATTAGTCATTGGGTGTCTTTAAGACAGCAATTGCTAATCTGAAAAACAAATCTATTCGTTGGATAAATAATCTCGTTTGCAAGCAAGCAAATTTTCATAATCGAATCCATGAATCCAACATTGGTTGAGGGAAACATAATATAAAAAGACGGCATAGACCGTGAACATGAGTTAAAGTGAGAATTATTTACAAAATTATTAATAATTTTGAACGAAAATATCTTTCTCTTACTTTCCAGACAGTATATAATTCAATCTCCGCATGAATTCTTACAGATTCATAACTATGTTCGTATCTATGCATTGGATCCTCAAGTGAAAGCGAGAAAAACGTAAAAATTTATGTTGGGTTCTTTCAATAAGATTAATGTGTTTAATACATCCCTAGCAGAAAGTTTTCGATCAGAGATACTAATACGGAATTTACAAGAAACATTCATATTTTAGAAATATAAAATATTATTGTGTACTAAAACTGATAAAAAATTAAAGGGGACTTATTAGTAAAACATGACAAAGTAACATAGACTTCCATTTATTATAAAAAAGAAACAAGAAAAAAAAACAAAATGTCACGTGAAAAGAAAGTTTCTGATTACTAGAAGTCGTGGAAAATAATTTCCGATCATGGCTCAAATAAATAGCGCCTTGAATGTAGAGGTTAGGCATAAACACAAGAAGAAACCGCAAAAACGTAAATGCAAGTTCATCACTTCTAAAATATCAGTTCGTAGTGCTATTCCATTCCATAATACGCTATCATATAATTTGTATTCAAACGACATGAAATTAAGGATAACTGAGCTGCTCAAGGAAATAAGGTAATAGCCAAAAATGGTAACAGAAATTACAGGATGATCAAAGCACTATTAGTGATTTAAAGAGGGAGTATGAAGAAACGCGACCAGAAAATGTGACCATCTTCGTGCAACAACTAAACAAGATAGAAAGATTGCGTAATACTGTTGAAGAAATGAGACGAGCAAGTTCGAAAGAGATAAACGTACAGTGAGCATAAGATATTTCTGATCGTACTGTCAGAAATCGTCTACATGAGATGAGTTTCCCATTTCAAAAAGCTAGAACAAAATCTTTCCAAACAAAGAAGCATAAGAAGGAGCGGTTACAGTGGCGCAAGGAGCATGCACTGAAACCGGCGACGATGCAAAAATATTCGTTTGGCGAAGATTCAATAAAAAGTTTGACAAAGATTGTTTAAATTTTAAAAAGAAATATCCAAATTCTCATATGATTCAAGGTTGTATGTCTCAGAAAGGAATTGGCAAATTATGCATTCTTTATCAAAACGTAACTTCAAAAACATATTTTCGAACATTGTTTGATTCCTAGTATTGAAGATTGGTCTGAAGATTCTTGTGGCTTTACTTTTCAAGATAATTCCAGCTGTCATCGCAACAAAACAGTAAAAGATTATTTACGACATAACGGAATTAAAACTATGAAATAGCCAGCCAATACTCCACACCTAAATCCTATTGAGAACTTATGAATAAAATTTAAAAAACTGGTCAATGAGAAAAAGCCACCGAGTAAAAAGAACTTCGGCACGCTATACGACAATCATGGGAAGAAATCTCACCTACGGAATGTAAAAAATTCAACGATTCCATGCCAACGTATTAACGTATTAAAAAAGTAATACATAAACGCGGGGACGTTACAAAATATTAATACCTAAAATAATTTATATCAGTAAATTAAACCGGAAACTTTTTTCCAGCATTTATACTAGTCGAAAACTTTTTGCTAAGGGTTTATTAATATTTAAACTGTTATCATTTCATACGAACAAACTCGTACAACATGGATTCATTTTAAGGATTGAAGCCTCTTTTCAAAATATTTTCATTCATTTTTTTCTGAGATATTTTTGCATAATGTAGCAGATGAAAAGAGACTTTTGTGCTATAAATAGTTGTAGTGTGTAAAGACATGGAAAAATTTTTTTTATCGCTTGATTTACAATGAATCGGAAAATTGAAGCTTTTGCAACGATCCCTTAAAACTAACTGTGTGCCAATTTATTGAACTCTGAATATTCAAATTGACGGAAACAAATATAACGAAGAGAATGTTATGACTTTTTCAATGAATTTTCATTGTCCAATATTCAATCAAGTTTTCGGGTATCATTGTAAATTATAAAAGAAAATTAAATTGTAAAAAGAAGGCTCCAATTTTCAAATCAATTATAAATTCAATCAAAAATCTTTCAATGACAATTCGCAGCGTTTTCCACAAGAAAAATATCTTCACTTTCCCACCTGTTACGTGATATACTGAGATTTCAGAATAAAATAAGTGGCACATTTCGAAAATAGGGGTTTCAACTTTAAAATAAATCCAAGTTTATTGTTGTACGATTTTTTTGTATGAAATTGTAATAGTAGGGTACGTAACACGCATGCCGATTAATAATCCAGCTGTAATATCGCGCGTTTGCTGTGATTAAATTGAAAATTTAAACGAACAATGGCCTCGCCAACTCGAAGAACTGTATTTCCATCCTTTCGCCTTTCTTCGATATTCGAACCGTGTCAACGCAGACGCGGCAGAAAGAAGCTTAATGAAGAAATCGATTCGAATAAATTTCAATTAATTTCGCCGATACAATGTCGAGACGCATCTGTCGTCTGCCCGCCTTCGATCATTTTAGAACTTAACTGCGGACCATAACGAGTGACCAAACCGTACACAATAATTCGTCGCTTTCATTTTGAAATCGATCGGTATGAATATCACTGGATAGAAATTATTAAGAAGTAATAAATTTATTTATTTATTTATTTTTTTTTTTTGCCTAGATTATACTTAAAATATACTTAAAACTGAGAAAATGTTGCAATTTTGGGACAAAAAATTCTCGACGTGCGTGACACGTCATTCCAGCGCAAGAGGTTAACCATCTGCGCTGGCAACTGATTGCGGACCATAACGAGTGACCAAACCGTACACAATAACTCGTCGCTTTCTTTTTGAAATCGATCGGTATGATATCACTGGATAGAAATTATTGAGAAGTAATAAATTTATTTTTTTTTCTGCCTGGATTATATTTAAAATATACTTAAAACTGAGAAGATATTGCAATTTTGTGACAAAAAATTCCCGATTGCGTGGCACGTCATTCCAACGCAAGAGGTTAAACAAATGAACCGATTTCTGATTGCTTGTAATTTCTCACGTACTTATACGCTGCACAATCGGATATACTTGCGCGTTCGGGTAGTTAATTCACAAACTTAAACTGCCATAGAGAAGTCTAAGAATAAGATCAGAGATCTAAGCTGCTTTCAATTTTCTCTCTACAACCAATTTTTCACTCCTCCGATATTGAATGACAAACAGCAAAGTAAGCGTAAAATATCACACGGAAGAGGAACGGATAAAACAAATAACGCCTCGAACCTCGATGTTCAAACGGCAACGTTGGTCAGCGTACCATGAAATAGAAAACGGAATGTTGTTTGTTTGAACAGGAATATCCTTTACAAAATACTTCAGTGAAAGAAAAAAGACGGACAAAGGAGAGAAAGGAGGAGGGAAGAGGATGGATAGATCGTCAGTTGTTCTCCAAAGAGCGCTTTCAACCTCCCTATTTCGAGCATCGTAAGAGGGACTAACGAAGCTATGGTAACAGTATTCTATTTCTACGACTTTGCTTTCCATTTCTCTCTTTTTTTCTTTTTTACAATCGCAAAAATTGCCACGAGTGAAACGATCCTTTGTACAATGTTTCACAGAGAAGATAGCCAGTTAATGGTATCTGTCGTATTCGTGCATCCATTGGGTATAACTAGAAAGTCCCATTCGTGAAGCTGTAGGGTGAAACTACAACGTTCCACATCGCATGTTCGTGCGTAAAACGACGCCGTTGATATCGACTGCGAATCTCAACATGGTCCATTAAGGAAGTAGTTGCCTTAAACGAACTGCACTGATAACGGCTATCTGAATCGGTCAGAGGAACGGGCACGATCGAAGTCACGGGAGAGACTTGGAGAGTCCGATAGAACCGTTGTGAGAGGTAGATACAGAGAGAGATGGTTGAAGAAGAAAGAGGAAAAGGGAACAGAGAAAACGGAAGTCGTGCAATGTGGACCGATGGCCAAGTACGACATAATAGAAACGACTAGGCTTTTCCACCGCAGCAGAGCGCCGAGATAAATGAAACTAAACGTTCGGGCTGCTTCCATTCGTCCTATTTTGTCTTTTCTATCTGGATCTATTCCTCGTTTCCATCCCCGGTTCGATTTCCTTTTTTCATACCTGGAAACACGTGGAAATACACTGATCGCCTGGCAATGCCCCATTAACTAGTCGAACTGTCGATTTGAGGTGAAAATGTGATATCGTGTTTGCCCATCATTTCATACAACCGCGTATAGTCACGTACGGATTAGAGATATTACTCCTGGTGACACGCTTCTTAAAAAGGTGTGTTCAATTCCGGAGTGAATTAAAAACATTCGTCTTTTTTTCTTTTTCTGTCAGAACGAAAAAGAGGGAATCTCGAGAAGACAAGGGAGAAAATGAAACTATCTGTCTTCTTTATACAAGATGTTTTGTTAGTAATGTGGAAAGTAGAGCAAGGGATGATTCTACATGTAAAAATGTGTCGAAAAGAAATGGACAAAACAGTTTTTAGATGATTAGCCACATATCACGGATCAAAATTAATTTTTAATATTTCATTTTTATGATCGATTGGATTTATTTTAATGTTTACAATTGGAGGGTTAACTGGAACTATACTTTCAAATTCATCAATTGATATTATTTTATAATATATAATATTATATATATATATATATTATATATATATATAAAATATTATATAAAACATATAAAAATTTAGTTTTATTATTAATAAAGGTAAGAGTAAGATACATAAAATATATATATATATTTCTAAAATTATAATATATATAAAAAATTATAATATATATATATAAAATATTATATAAAACATATAAAAATTTAATTTTATTATTAATAAGGATAAGAGAAGGTTTAAAAAAAATATATAATATATATGTATATATGTATATATATATATGACATATATTATGTTGTTGGTCATTTTCATTATGTTTTATCTGTAGAAGCTATATTTTCTATTATTGTAAGATTTATTCATGGATTTCCTTTATTTTCAAGATTATAATAAATAAAAAATGATCAAAATTTCAATTTTTTTTTATATTTATTGGTGTTAATCTTACATTTTTCCTCAACATTTTTTTAGAACTAACAGGAATACCACAACGATATTTTGATTATGTGGATTCTTATTATTGTTGAAATTTTATTTCATCATTAGGATCAATAATTTCAATAAATAGATTATTATTTTTAATTTATATTATTTTTGAAAGATTACTATCTAAACGATTTATTTTATTTAAATTTTATCAATCATCATTAGAATAATAAAATAATTATCCTGCACTTAATCATATATGTAATGAAATTCCATTATTAATTATAAATAAAATAAAAAATTTTTAATTAAATAAATTTAATATGGCAGAATCAAGTTTGAAAATCAAATATATTTGAATTTAGCTAGTTCCTGGACAGATGCAAATAATTCTACGGAAACAAAAGGATATTCTACATGTAGGAAATAAAAACATATAGAAAATCTAGTATCGTTTTCGTTAAAAATGGTCACGATAAATTTTCAAACTCGACTTTTTGAGAAACGAAGCAGAAAAATTTTATTCTGGTGCTTATTTTCGCACGTGGAAATAACCTTTTGTTAATTAATTCTTTTCTGTCGCGCCTGGAATTAACTAAATTCAAGTATACTCGTAAATTTTCAAACTCGATTTTCTCAGAGGCTTTAATGAAAAAATTTTATTCTTTCTTTTCGATTTATTTTCACATGTTAGACTCACCCATTATTCATGCTTCCTACGTGCTACAGAACACTCTGTATGTATGTATAGAAGTATAATACTTGGAGCAGTGTGATTTATCGATATCAATTAATTGTCCGTTCCAGGCCTGTGTTTTTGCTGGTTTTTACCGAGTCAGAACTATCAGAATTATATCTGCCAGCTCGCTAAAGCATACTCGGCTGACAAGTATATTAATGGGATTAGTTTTCATTTTCTTCTCCCATTCGCCAATTACCTTTGATGAGGTACGGCAGGTTCAAAAGATACAATGAATCACGTGGACGTTAACTGCAGAGGAAATCGAAGTTCCTTCGTTTTAGTCTTCGATTTTTCAAAGCATAATCTACATTTTCGGGTGAAAGTTCGCCAACAGAAAGAAGATAGAAGCCAACAGTTTTACTCGAGCAAATATCTGCGATTTATTCATTGTTCCGATTCAATGTCCTCTTTGTTCCTTAGCTCGGTGAATTTCTTCGCGCCTATTCAAATATTGTGCTGCGAGAGGAGCTCTTCGATCGAGAGTCCGTCCCGTGACGTCACCTACTTTCCGACTCGTATCTCCTCCAGAAATAAATCTCGGCTAAAAATACACTTCGTTTTCTTTCGCCAGATTATTATAGAAAAGAATTGCCACGATTTTTCACACTTTCGTTTCGTTGACTATTTCGTTGCGAAAATGTGTCGATAAAGTAGTTTGCCCCATTCGCAACGAATAAATACGATGCTTCGGTTGATTGGATCGGAAATATCAAGCTGATGACGTTTGATGCGTTAATCAACGAAGCACACGATCGAAAAGGATTACGCCCTACTCTTTTTCCTTTCTCGGGTATTATGCTCTCGTTAACCCAATTTTCGAAATCGTTCGAACGCGTTCGATAATTAGAACAGTATTAAAAAAGCAACGCTCTTTCGCGATGAAGTAATCATTCGTTTAAATTTTGGAATCCGTCCTTTGGTGTTTCCTTTCTTCTTTTTTATTCAATCGAGTGTATGGTACATCGCTTTCGTAGCGTGAAAAATGCCTCTGGCTACATGGAAGTGTTCGTGAAAGGCGAGGTTCCCGCGCGCTGAAAGCGTCATTCGACGAATCGCGCTCCACTGATTTTACAGGCTAATTTCGCTGCAGGCGCCAAGAATGCTTGATTTAAGCTTCCAAGGACGCGCCGATAAAGAGATGCTGGTCTCCAAAAATATGGAGCAACCACAAAGCAGGTGAAAGAGAATTGGCGAAAGTGAAGCTGTTTCGATAATTGCTATTTTTCCGTTCTCTCAGAACATGTATATTTAGTTTTTTGGAAACTTTATATATAAATATTACGATGTAAATTGATCTTACAGCAAACTTTAAGTAATTGACGTACACATCAATTATAAATTAATTCATAACACATTATGTGCACGGTTTCGCGAAATTTAATTATTGGCTGAAAGAATAAACCAATCAATTGGATAAACATACAATTAATGCAAAATTAAACAGAAATGTACGTACATCATTAGCTTTGTAATATTATTTCAAATAATATATTTAAATGTGTGTGTGGAATTTATCTTTGCGTCAATCATACTAGCGTTTTTCTAAAACAACGGTAAGTATGAAAAAGAAATGAAAGAGAAAAAAAGTTATACTGTTTCTCAGATAATATAATAGCATATGTAACTTTTCTATATGTTTCTTCATGCTTGCTTTATTTTTTTATAAAAAATGAAGATGACCTTCAATTTTTTAAATGGAATCATATATTTTTTGATCCATTAGGCTGTGATCCATTAACCTATGTACGTCGAAAAATTATTTGTCTACAAGAGATATTTTAATTTAAAGTCTGTAAAATTTATCGTAGAAGAAACAAAAAGAGATAAAAGCAGTATTGTTGTCTTGCATAGATTTTATAAAATTCAGGTTAAAGTATCTCCTAAACTAGTAATTTTTCAATATAGACAGGATAATAATAACGGATCGAAAAATATATCATTCCACTTCAAAAAATCATTTTTGAAAAAAAAAACCAACAAAAAAAAATTATTATTGCCCGCAAAAAACAGTACAATTTTTTTTCTCTCATTTTTTTTTTCTCACGCCGTTGTTTCTGAGAAAAACACAAAGTAGAAAATAGCTTGAACATACATCGAACTGTATTGAATTTAAAATAGTTTGAACGCAACTTTTGTGCACTTTTGAAAGAGGCTGTTAGTAACATGTCATCTTTCTACAGTGATGGAATTATATCGTGTTTATTCTGTGCTGTTCTAAGCGTTATTGTGCCGAGAATAAGCGTTTCGCAATTACGTTTGCTCGAAATTACAAATTGCACAACCCCTTTCCAATAAAAGGAAAAGAATTAAAAAGGAGGAGAAAAAATAAAATTGAGACAAGAAAAAGAACAAATCAGATATTGTTGAAATATGATATTTGATGCTCAAAAAGAATATTTTTATTGCTTATTCTCAGCATAACATCAAATAACAAATTCATAAATAAATTATCCGACGACAATCTGTTGAGAATTATATCAGTGATTCACGACGCATCGAAGGTATATTTCTGAATTCACACCGTGACTTCTCCTTTATTTTAAATGTTCAACTTCCGCGCTATCCTTTCTCATATTGCCACGGCTATTACCAGGCTCTCATTTCAAGACTGAAAAGTATTGCTTCAGGAAAGTTCGACCGTCCACAAATGAATCGTATCTCTTTTACTGATCGAACTCTTTCACTCGC